TTTAGTAATCACACACACACACATATATATATATATATATATATATATATATATATATATATATGCAATCATATATATATATATATGTAATCATGTATATATATATATATATATATATATATATATATATATATGTGTGTGTGTGTGTGTGTGTGTGTGTGTGTGTGTGTGTGTAATGTATATATATATATATATATATATATATATAAAGTACAGGGCATGTAGTGAGTTCGATCCTCACTGGATGACCTGTACTTTCGGCCTTGTGCCACATCTAATCTACGTTTGGAAAATCAATATATATATATATATATATATATATATATATATATAAGCAACTTTTCACGCGAACCACTGCTCTGTGGAACCGATTCTCAAGAGGACTACAATCCTAACCTGTTTAAGTCTAGGGTTAACTGTTATCTTGACCATCTATCCGCATAAACTGTTCCCCTTAATCTGTAACCCTATACCTTGAGTGTCTCACTGGCCTTGTACGAATTGAACGTCACTGTAAAAAATACTAAGCAAATTATATGTAGTGCGTTATGCCCTCGCGTAGGGCCACATCGGACTAAGGTAATGTTTCTGTTGATGGATTCACAGATGCGCAGGAGAGGGAAAGGGAGATATGAAAAACGCAAGCGTTTGTTATAATTGTGTACCAGCAGGAAACACAGAAGATGTTGGAATGCTGAAATGTATTTACTTATTTTTTTGTTGTTGTAATGATTGCCACATGGAATACATAGGATAAACTTCGAGGAATCTAATTAAAAGATTATATGAATACAAAAGGGATCTTTAACAAAACAACGCACTCACCGAAATGAATCTAACCATAATTTCAATTTAAAACTATAAACACTACTTTAATTAAAAAGAGAACAATTTGTCTAAAGGGAAAATATATAGAATGTGCTTTGATCGCTATATCATCTACGTTGATTTGCGTCCAGGTTTTTGCAATACTTCTCTTTTTTTTCTTGACAGATCTTTTGTTATCACAATGTGGAATATTTAATAACAAAAGGGATAAAAACAAACATCGCCTAAAAAAACTAGATGTATTCAGCTAGACTACATGCACAGAGACATCTAAGAAAAAAATTGAAATTTAAAATTTCAGCGTTCAAACATCTTCAGCGTTTCCTATATTTCCATCAAACAAAAACCTTACTTTTGCCCAATGAAGTTCTTCTAGAGGACGAATCACGTTACGAGGATTTTTTTTTTCCATCTTATCATTCATTTGCCTAATATTGTTCTGGCAGAGAGAAATCTATATGTCATATTCTCCAGTTTTGCGAAAGAAATAAGGCGCATTGGCACTGGCATAGCGAAAGATGCTTTCCAAAAGCTAAGCAAAATATTAAGAAACAAGAAAATCTCGATGGAAACAAAGAAAAGAGAAATGAACTGTTATGTAATATCAGTCATTTATATCGCAGTGAACGTTGAACTATTTCCTCTCAGATAAAAAAAAAGAGATTTGAAGCAACAGAAATGCGGTTCTACAGGAGGAAGCTGAGAATACTATGGACCGAAGATGTGAGAAACGACGAAGTTTTAGAGAAAATGGAAACGAAAAGAAGCCTTATACTTAGCATCAGAAAGTGTCAGATGAAATTTTGAGGACACATAATGAGGAAAGCAAGCTTGGAGAATTCGATAATCACAGGAGAGATTGATGGCAAGAGGGAGAGAGGAAAACAACACGTAACTTACCTGGCGAGCGTGAGTAAATGGATGACAGAACACAGTTTAGGAGAGATAAGATAAAGACAAAATTTATTAAGAGCTTCTAATGACAAGAAATTGTGGAGAGCCATGATAGCCAACATACTGAAAGGACACGGCACATAGAAGAGGTAGATTTACCCATTTACTTCGATTTTTTGGTAAGGAGGAAAATGAGATCAAAATTCCAAGACTATTAGTATGACATCGGTCATGGTATATATATATATATATATATATATATATATATATAAAGAAATAATCATACATAGAATCAGTCAGCAATATTAATGCGATTAATGGCGAAATCACTTTGCTAGTAGAACATAATGTATTCATTAAAATACTGTTAATCCATTGAATGATGTGATCCTCATTTATAAAACTGTTGTCAGATGTTTCTAGCGTATATTTTTTTAAGTTAAGCAAGTACTTTCGAAGATCCATGTCTCCATCCTCAGGCTGTATTTTTTTTTTCCTTTAAAGTTAAAACTTGAAGACGAAATAATTGTTTGTAGACCGAAAGATTTTTTTTTTAACAATGTGCTATTTATTGACGGTTGTACAATCTCAGGAATACGAGTTAAAAGCTAAAGTTCAAAATTTCAAAAAAATTTTATATGAATTTTTAATATGGTAAATCCAAAAGTTCTTTTTTTTTTTATAAGCGTTTTTCAGTTAACATGACATGAACTAAGTATATATTTCAATTAATATAGTGATACGTCTTAGTAGTTTTTGGGGGGTTTTTTTTCTCAGGAAACCGTTAACTGAAAACCACTTGTAAAAAAAGAATTCGTGGATTTACCATATTACAAAATTCATATAAAAATTCTCATGAAATTTTGAACTTTAACGACTCGCACGTTCCGAGATTGTACAACCGTCAATAAATAGCACATTCTTAAAAAACATCTTTCGGCCTACAAACAATTATTTCGTCTTCAAGTTTTAACTTTAAAGGAAAAAAAAATACAGCCTGAGGATGGAGACATGGATCTTCGAAAGTACTTGCTTAACTTAAACAATATACACTAGAAACATCTGACAACAATTTTATAAATGAAGATCACATCATTCAATAGATTAACAGTATTTTAATACATACATTATGTTCTATTAGCAAAGTGATTTCGCCATTAATCGCATTAATATTGCTAATTGATTCTATGTATGATTATTTCTTTATATATAAAATGTATGTTGCCTAATATTATATATATATATATATATATATATATATATATATATATATATATATATATATATATATAGTGAGAGTGAAATAGAATGATTAACAAAACAGGCTAGGATTTCAGTATAGAGTTTTCGGAAGTGTGACCATTGTCTTAGAATTGAGATCCCTTTCGCAAATTGAGTCCTGAAAGGTGGGGGACTAAATCAGATATTAAGGGCGGGGCTAAATCAGATATTAAGGGTAGGGCTAAATTAGATACTAAGTGGGGTGCTAGATCTGAAATTAATGGGGAGGCTAAATCTGAAATTAAGGGTGGAGCTAACTCAGATAATAAAAGTGTGGCTTAATCAGACATTAAGTGAGGGTCTAAATAAAATATTAAGTGTGGAGCTAAATTGGATATTAAGGAAGAGGCTAAATCAGATATTAAGGGCGGAGCTAAATCGAATATTAAAGGGGTTTTTAAATTGATATTAAGGGTGGGACTAAATCCGATATTACGGGTAGTGCTAAAGCAGATAATAAGGGTGTGCCTAAATGATATTAACAGTGGAGCTAAATCAGATATTAAGGGTGTCACTAAATCAGATATTAAGGGTGGAGCTAAATCTGATATTAAGGGTGAAGCTAAATCTGATATTAAGGGTGAAGCTAAATCTGATATTAAGAGTGTATCTAAATAAGATATTAAGAGAGTTGCTAAATGAGACCTTAAGTACGTAGCTAATATTAAGTTTTAAAGATTCCTGATTCTATGTTTTTGTTTCTTTTATGTTGGCCTATCATAAAACGAAGATATATTTTTAGACTTATTATCCGACTGTAAACATTTTTGTTTTGATTTAAAATACACTTTTCTTTTTACTGCTTGTTTGTACTTATTTTCTGGAATGAGACTGTTTCTACTTATAAGACTGATATGTCCCGGAAAGGGATATATTTGTTCGAAGTAGCAAAGTGTTTTTGGACTACTCTAACCGAGTAGGACAATCTAGCAGGTAACTATAATGAACTGGTGCTCGTCGTAGTGGTAGGCAATAGGCGTAGGCAATAGGCGAAACCAAATAGGCGTCCACATGTACCTCCACATCAGTCTGTATTTATGGCTGACACCAGCCAATCATATTACTGTGAGGGGGAACCCAGTTGTATGTATATTCATTACATCAAAGATTTATATCGAAGCTTTAGTAGAAACGAAAATGAAAGAAGAGAACGCCAACAAAGTGAGGTTTCGGTACATATCTGCATCTCCTAATATTACCGATCATGATTGAGGTTGTCATAATACAGGACGTTACGTTCATGCCATGATTGTCCCAGCTATCACTGATGCGTTAGGGGTCTATATCACCGAACCTAAAGACCTACATTAAGAAAATTGTAATAAAGCCTAGTATCCCGTCGCTTCAGAAGGCCGCGTTGCTTTGCACCGCAAATATTCTGCGAAAGGTGCTTGCTGTTTGACCTGATGAAGAAATTTACTAATGCAAGATCTCTGTTTGAAAACTAAAAATTGTTTGGAAAAAGAAAAGATTATATAATGTATATGTTTGTAATTATACTGTTAAGTCGACCGTAATATGTTTTAAAAAAAGTATTATGTATTTGTGCATATGTTGCGGATCAGGCCATTTATTCAATATATATGTTATTTATTCAATATATATATTATTTATTCCAAATGTTGCTTGGATAATTGAACTCATTCTTTGCGTTGGATTTTTTTTTTTTTTTTTTTTTGCTTTATTTTTGTTCCATCAAATTAGGTGTAAAAAGAGAAGATAATGATTTGAACAGCTCAAAGAATGCGTTCAGTTCTTTAAACAACTCTTGGAATGACGATAACTCTTCACAAAATTATAAAGAATATTTTTTTCTCCCCAATTTTTTTTTTTCATAAGATTATCAAAATTTATTTTCAGTTTAGTCATTTGCTCTTTTTTTTTTATTTTTTACTTTTTTTTTTTTTCAAAAAAACATCCACACTTTCTGCTTCTTTTATTTAGACTCGCTAAGATTTTTTTTTTCTTTAGCTTTCTGTTTTCGTCTCATCCAATTTTCAGACAAAACTATCATCCTTGGTCGTTCCTTCTTCGGAGTGCAAACGCGGACCGACTTCAGTGGGTTCTTTGGTTTTTCCTTCATTCTTTTCACGGTATGCCTTCCACAAGTAACGTAGTAAATCACCGGCCACAAGATCTGTCGAATTTTTAGCAATGACTCGTAAGACCAAGAACCCGTCGTCACGTAGGTACTCCTTCGTGAACTTCTGACACAGCTTCTTGTCCTGTTTCGTCTGGATCGTATCCCACCATCGGATGTACTTGGTCACGTAGTCGATATGTGCTTGGGAGAAGATGAAACGGTAGAACCATGACAGCAGGTTGATGCAAGTGCAGGTTGCTACGAATACAAACCAGAACCACAGAAATATGAAGATCTTCTCGTTAAACAGGTTTATAGGCAAGACGCACTGAACGGTATATCTCTGCAAATTCTGCAATTGACGGATCTGTAAGTCACACAAAGTGACCCTCGGAAATCGAGGACTCTCACGCCAAACAGTGTTGCTGGCCAGCGACGTCAGTACCTCGATGCCATAAACGCTGTAATCCGTAGCCATGAAGGCGTTGAGCAGAAAAAACTGACCAATCACGTTGGCACCGTACAGCATCTTAATGAAGACGTAGAGACCGGTTAGAAATGTGCCCTGGCGACGAGAACAGAGGAAACAACAAAGGCGTGAAGAACGCTGTCTCAATTTGACTAAGAAGTTGAGCTTGTACTCGCGATAGGCATCCAGCCATCGCGTCAAGAAGTGCGCAATATTCTTGATAGTCTCCTCTCGGTCATCGGGGGAACCGAGCTGGGTATCTTCAGCCATTGAGACGATCTTATCGAGGTTCAAACCCGACAACTCGTGAGTTGATGTCCAGAGGATGTTGGGAAATTTAAACATAAAAGCCTGAAACAGCAGGATTAGCGGCACCCACTGGTAGTAGGTGATCTGTTGGTCTTCTCTTTCTTTTATCTCGACTGGAATGACGTCTTTCATGGGGATGTAGTACGTGTTAGCAATCCAGCAGTAGGATTTAGTGTAGTCAACAAAGGCGTCCGTAAATTCTGCCGGGCACCAGCATTGGATGGCATCCCCGACATACTGACCTGTACTGATGATGACCGCAAAGATGACCAAAAGCACGACTGTGTAAAGATGGTTAAGCCTGTCCACCCAATCATCGTTTATGCTACCCCGGACTCGGGAGTAACTACCAAAATTCTCGATCAGTGAGCTGATCCTAAAAAAGAAAAACAAAACAGTTAAAAAAAATTAAATTTAAAACGGTTAAAGATATATATATATATATATATATATATATATATATATATATATATATATATATACTGTTAGTTCACACAATACAAGGCCCAAGAGCCACCCAAGTTACAAAGTGAGATTGTTGTAAAGGGAAGGAGGAAGTAAGAAATTCATATTATGAGGACGTGTAGGATAGATATTGGCTGACCCAGGACTTAAAGAGACAAAGATTGTAGTTTCCAGTAAAGCATCATCTCAGGAGTTTGTTCCACAAACAGTGTACATAGCATTAAGGGTCCTTGGTGTAAAGGTATGATTTGTTGGAACTAAGGCATATGATGCTGCGGTATGTCAGCTGATATCTTATTAAATGGAAACCAGCTGGACTTGTCACAAAAATGGATTCGGACATTTATTTTCCCCGGTGGTTATTAGTAAGTGAAATGGACTTCACAATTACATAGCAAGCGGCTCGGACAAAGAGGGTCACTAAATGAAGATGAATTATTTTTTAGACAAACACAAGACAAAGAAGAGAAAAAAGTCAGAGACTGCGAGCGCCCACAGAGGACGAAAGATATCCGTTAGACTGTTCACTATCCCCTCACCTACGCCTCATATCGGCTTAGCTCGTCTATATATTACAATAAAATTTGTTTAATGCTACAAATTCTCATCGTTTTTATTTCGTCTGGTTGAAGGGTCATTTTTAGGCAACAAGCGTTTGAATGGAAGAAACTGCACCCCGAGAACGAAACTGGTGTCTGGTGTGAGCTACAGTAACTCATCTCAACATCTGCCATAGTAATAACGATAGATGTGCACCTCGAAGAGGTGTAATGGTTAGCATGCTTAGCTCGCTAGAACAATTACGACTGAGTAGTGAGTTCGATCCTCACTGGGTGCCCCCTAATTTCGGCCTTGTGCCACATTTAAGCTACGCTTAGAAAATCGCTATGGGGCACCTCGAAGTGGTGTAATAGCTAGCAAGCTTGTCTCGCTAGAACAATTACGACTGAGTAGTGAGTTCGAACCTCACTGGGTGCTCCATACTTCCGGCCTTGTGCCACATCTAAGCAGCGCTTAGAAAATCACTAGTAATAACGATAGATTAGTGAGAGACTCACAGTGTTTCGTCTGTGGGATAAAGGTTGCAAGGTGGAGAATAAGTCATCATCCATAAGGCTGCGTAAGGGATTTTGAATTCTGTCGAGACTAGAGAGTAATGATTGCGAGGCACTAGCCCATCATCATCAGTCCCATAATAAGCGGTGGTCGTAGGACTGCTGTGCAGCCGAGCGCCTGACAAGTTCCCTCCACTTACGTAGACTGAAAGCTGCTGGATCATAAAGCGGTTTGATCGTGTAATAAAACGTTTCACAACCGGTGCGCCCGGGCGCACTAACGCTCCCTGACAGGTAACCAGGCGCGCTCCAAGTTAACAGAAGAGTAATTTATGAATTAGTTTTATATTTTTAAAATTTTCCATATTGTTATCTCTCCTAAACCTTGCTCCACCATCCATTCACTCAAGTTCGCCAGGTAGTATCTTGGATGTTACAAGTTATTTTGTATAATGAAGGTCAGGGCTTTTAATTTCAGATAGTAAGGAAAACTTGATGAAAAGAAGAATATGTACCAAAGATAAAACTTCTTCCATTTACATTTAATATTAAAATATAAATCTTTGTTAAGTATATGTATTTGTAGTCGACAATGTTTAGGTTTATATTATTCTCTCAGCTACCCCGACTTCGCATATAAAACTAAGTTTTTTTTAGTCAGTCAGAAGGTAGTGAAGGAAATCAAGAAGAAAGGACTAAACATCAATTGCAAGAAGACAGAATGCATAGTTGTTAGCAAACGGGCGAGCCCAACATGCAAATTACAAATTGAAGATATCGAAATCAAACAAGTAGAACAGTTTAAAGGCGGTTTGAGCGTGTAATAAAACGTTTTACAACCGGTGCGCCCGGGCGCACTAACGCTCCCTGACAGGTAGCAAGGTGCGCTCCAAGCTAACAGAAGAGTAATTTATGAATTATTTTTATATTTAAAAAAATCTTTATTTTTAAAAAGCTAGAGACACCAAGTACATACCTTCCATTTCTAAGTTGTTTTTTATCAGTATCTGTCTATATTTCTGAGATGAGGTATCATGTACACTATTTACATTATTCGGGCTATTGTCCTCATCTTTCTTGCCATATTTATCACAACTTTTCAACATTTCAAGCACTTGAAGAAGGCCGGAGCGTACAGCGCCAGAAACGTTGTGATAAATATGGCAACAAAGATGAGGACAATAGTCCGAATGATGTAAATAATGTTGTTTTTTTATCATTTGATATTTTAAACTGGATGCTAAATACCTTAATCTTTCAAAAATGGTTAATCCTTTTTTAGTTTTACCTTCCTCAAGGGATTTAAATCAATCCCTAGCCTCTCTGAAGAAAATAAATAAATACCTTTAAATGAAAACTGTACCACTTTGGGAATTTTTTTAAGCATTTCACCCCAAACAAGGCGGGAGTGCCTCTATCACGCAAGGGGTTACAGAGAGGAAGATCAAGAGTAAAGAGGAGGTGTTTGAGAAAAGGATATAGAGAAGGACGGGGATCAGGATCAAAGCATCAGAAGATGTCGATTGACATTACATTTGAAGCAAGTAGGAGAAAGTGAGTTCCACTGACAGGAAGTGCGACAGAAGAAGCTGTTGGAGTAGAAAAGACGGCTACATTTAACTGTATCGACAGTGAAAGGGTGGGACCGGGATGCCAACCTAGTAGCACGCTTAAATTCATGCAGTTTGGGTACCAGTGAAAGTAGCTAGTCAGAACAGTTGCCATGAAAATATTCGTAGAAAAGACAGAGGGAAACCGCATCATGTGTGTGAGAAAGTGACTGTAGACGAGATACCAGATCAGGAGCAATCACACTGCATATCCGTTTCTGGATTTCGCCTAGGACCTCGAAATGAACATCGGGGGCACCAGACCATATATGGCAACAGTATTCAATTCAAAGAAGAATGGTAGGTGTGTAGATTTGAAGGATGGACTCAGGCGAGAAAAACCTTCTGGCGCGACACAGAGAAACAACGTGACTTTAAAAGGTCAGAGAAACGTTTCGTGGAGTTATTCCATCAGCGAGTGCAGCGTGAGAGGCAGGGAGGTTTCTCTATGTCAGGTAAATGGGGCAGTTTCGTTTTGGGAGGATTAAAGTTTCTCATTTGGTGGGTATATAATCCATCATAGATTGACGTTCTTTTTTGAGACCAACGGCATTTTAAATTTTGTCAGCAACAAGCATTTAAAACAGACAGGAGTAAATGGTAGTATCGTCTAAATTTTGTCTACTTGGGAACTGATGACATCAGAAAGATCGTTAATGAAGATCAGAAACAGTGTAGGAAATAGGATAGATGATTGGGGAATTATAACGTAAATATGAAAGTGTAACCTGGATAGGAGAACCCGGATTTAGAACAACCCGGATATAAGTTCTTTTCTCTTATCCCAAATTAAGCTTACCGAAAAAATAGACCAAACCCAAATATTATCAAACGCGGATAGAGATATCTTCTCCACGGCTCAAACTCTTATATTGTTATCAAACTTAATAGACAAATTGTCAACACCATCAGCACATAAGATACACCGGGCAAAACAAAAATCAATATTTTAGTGATTTTTAACATATTTTTTAATAGCATTTTCGAATAAATTTATAAATATATATATAGCAATTTTAGTTATTAAATATATACCTATTTCATTTCCTATGAAAAAAATTGTTTAATTATTGATCTTGTAATTTTGTTTCGTTTATTTTGTCCGCTGGATAAAATCAAAAAACGGCATATCAACAGCTTATGGGTCATTTAATGCCGAAATTTTATTTTCCGCTCATGAGCTTTGATAACCTTTTTTTTTTTTTTTCTAAAATGGTATTGTGGTAATTTTTCCAATAATGTATAACGGGTAAGATTTTTTCTAATGTGTTTTTTATTAAATATTTTGACCCAAGTTTTGGGGTTTCTATTTACCCTTTCCTACTTGGTATATCAGGTGGTTGAATTTCTGAGTCAAGATGAACCTGGGAACAACATCCCATATTTTTACTGTTAAATAGATTAAATTTTTTCTTATTCAGATTCATTTTATTTTCTGGTTTGTCGCCCATAGAATTTCTTCAAATATCTTACTAGACTGGAAGAACATTCTTCAAAATTCAAGACATTCGCCCTCGTCGAGTCTTTTTGAAGGGATTGTCCTTCCTTCTAATTTGCGCAGCAATTCGACGACAATAACCCTGTAGAGACTGGCATTGATCACATTGCTTTGCGTGATGATGATGAAGAAAAGAATAATATTCTCTATTAAAATTTTCCATATATTTATTTTGACCAAATTATCATTCGGGCTTGAAGAAGCTGCTGGATTGGTCATTTGGCAACCTGACGACAATAACTCGCAGGAGTGACGATAATGATGACAAAAATAAAATATTAATTTTAATCTTTTAATACATGTTGGTTGCGCCTACCTATATATATATATATATATATATATATATATTAACGTGTATAGTTATAAAATAACCGGGGCTAAACATGGAATATTTATCTTCATAATTTGCATTCCATTGGAATGGTAAAGAAATCAATTAATCAAAAAAACAAATTCGGCTCTGCTCAGAAAAAACGTTCAATTTTTTTCTTTTTGAATTCTATTCAAACAAAGTGACGAGACACTACTATTCGATTTAAATGGATCAAATTGATCTTTCGGTTACGCAACAACGATTATATTTATTCAGTCCTAGGGACATTGAGTTCTACCTGGATTCTATCAACTTGGAATTTTTATTCAAAAATATATATGTATGATGTATGCATCTCACTGTATATATTTATATATTTTGCATATGCATCAATGTATATTTCTTCAATGTATACTTATCTATAATTATTTATCG